TATGCACTAACTCTGCAGACATATGTGAACTATTCAACAAAACGTTTGCAGGTAACTACATTAAGCCCTCAGTCCAGCTACTCGATATACACCCTATTACTAATATGACACAAACTCCATCTCCACTCACACCAAATAAAATCAGCACTGTTCAATTCACTTACGCTAATATTAACCAAACTATAAGAACCCTCAAAAGTTCAAAAGGTTTCGGTACCGACGGTATATCATCTTACTTCTATAAATATGGTGGCCCTGACATTCCTCTACTGCTTCTTAAAATATTCACAATGTCCCTAGAAACTCAAACTTACCCTGACATATGGAAGACAACATTCATTATGCCTAAACACAAATCTGGCTCGAAAACTGAAGTCAGTAACTACCGGCCAATCAATATCACACCTATAGCATCTAGAATCATGGAGAGACTAGTCAAAGATAACTTAATCAAACATATGCTTAGCTGGAATATTATAAGTCCGAACCAACATGGATTCCTGAAATCCAGATCATGTTTAACATGTCACCTAGACTTCTTCAATTTTGTAACCAGCAGTCGTGACAGACGGCAACTAGTACTTGTCATCTACTTTGACATTTCTAAGGCATTTGACCGTGTTGACCATTTACTGCTAACAAATAAGCTGAACTCCTTAGGAATACGTGACCCATTATTAGGATGGCTTAAATCATTCCTTAACAACAGGTCCCAAATAGTTAAACTCGGGTCTGCAACCTCCAAACCTAGCCCTATCACTTCTGGTGTAGTACAAGGTAGTGTCATTGGACCCCTCCTATTTACACTATACATCAATGACATATGCGCTTGCTTCACGCATGGGAAACCATTCATCTTTGCAGATGACCTAAAAGTAGCTTATACATTCCAAAGTGATGACTTAGGGAACTTCGAGAATGTAGTGCAGAAGGAATTAGATAAAATGACTGCTTGGTCGTCCCTATGGAACCTCCAATTCAATCTGAAAAAATGTGGCTGGATCTGCTTCGGTGCACCCTCAATTGACCTGAAATTAACGCTCCAATCTGCTAACCTAACAAGACTCCGAAGTGTCGTTGACCTAGGCCTGAGGTACTCTAGTGACTTGACATTCTCTGAGCAAGTAGCATCACAGACTAGAAAATCGAGGATGCTCTTAGGATGCATACTCAGGAACTTCCACGACAATGAAGCCAAGCTAATTCTGTACAAAACATGTGTCAGACCACTACTAGAATACTGTCCATTTATTATAAGCAGCACTCGCACACGTGATAAGCTAAGGATGGAAAGTATCCAACGATATTTTACCTCAAAACTACTTGGCTACGATTGTAAGAAAGACTACATCTCACGGTGCATGATCCTAAAACTTGACCCACTTTGGACAAGGCGACTTATTATAAACCTAATATTCTTCTTTAAGGTCCTTCACAAAATATCATTCTCAGGTAACAGGGACATACAATTCGCACAGGAAGGTTCTTACGATCTGCGTAACCAAACTTCCACAGTGACAACTCATTCTTTTAAGTCAACACTCCGTGAAAACTTCTTCACAGTCATGTATTCTAAAATATGGAATAGCCTGCCCCTAGATGTCAGAACTTGCTCTTCGGTTACAAGTTTCAAACGCTCTCTGCATAGACTGTTTCACTCTACTGATTATATCAATAAACTATTTACTCCTAAAACGAATCAACTACTAATCTACTACAGCACCTAAAAAACGCACTTCAACACCCTTAACAATCTAAAAACCATAAATAAACTAGCAGCATGGATGCATAAAGACTTAGTACGGAACATACAGGAATAGTTTACCCTAGAAATAGGACGTGTCACTTTATTGTAACCTTCAAACGCTTGCTATATAAACTGTTTTATCCCAAAGTCTATCCCTACCAGAACCATTACTTATTTCTAAAACGCATCAGTCATTAGAACACTAAAACGCTCAGACTCATTAATACACATCATGACACTAAATAGACTCTAAGACTTCGCATAAATAAGTGAAAAGAACTATAACTATAAATAATTCTTTAATAATTTATTACACATTTGACATAAACAATTATATATATACATTAATGTCCTTTTAATGTTCACATACTTTCTCTTTTTGGTACTCTGATACTCCTATTCATCTTCTGGTCGAGGTCGAACAACCCTGCATCTAAACTGAAATGAGGATTAATTCCAAACCATCTACCTCATAACCACCCAAATTCCATGAACGATCCAATTCTACCATTTGAAGACGCTGGCGAACATGCTGTAAATGAGTATTCATGATCTGAAATGAAGAAGCAACTGGTTTTCAAACAGTTTTCAACATTTTACTGAACTTACGAATACAGTCCGCCATGCAGACACAAATGGAGCAAATGGAGAATTCTGGAATCGACCTCGGCACCATTTGATGCAGTAAAACAACCAACATGACCTTATCTAGTTTTCGTATCCACGATCAAATTTCTTTCCTGTTATAAAACTACGATAAGACTACTGAAAAAATGGAATAAATATATCACTGATCTCAACATAATACATCAATAAACTTTAAGCCAAGGGTGCTGTTCACAACAAAGTTATATAGGAGAATTGACTTCAAGCTTTTTTTTCCCAGATATTTGTATTACATTCATCTGATGTCTGGGTTTTTTTTAATGCGAAGACAATATTTCTATATCTCTTTATGTGCTACACAAACAAACTTTATAGCAGACTGTTCCGTTTGACTCTAATGTCAGAAAGAACAACCAAACTGTAAATTCATCATACATCAAATTATGTGCAATTTATATAACAACTTATCCATGTCTGTACAATAGCTATGTTCCTGCATAAACAGAAAGAAATATATTATTATTACAATATTCCTTTAAATTAATTATTTAAATTAATTATTGTTCGTATATGTGATGACTTGGTGCATTTCCTAGTTTGCCTATAATTACGGAATGTACATTATATTAGGGAACACAAATGGATTTTGTGAAAACCAGTGGTGTTCCCTTTCTAGTCTTAATTGATGTCACATTGATTGACACAATTAAAGGAATAGATTGTAACGTGGTGTTTTCTGTAGCTGCGAAACACAATTACCTAGTTTCGAATTGACATCATGCGTCTAATCCTTCACGAAACCTAGAAGTCAGGAGCGGACTCTCTTTGACAGACCTAGTTTTACTTTGTGACTAATTGGTGAGTCACCTGGTGTTGTGGTGGTAAAAAAACAACTCCAAACCTTAGTATTTTCTAGAAATGAACACATTTACTTACTTTGGCGACAATTTAATCTTAGGGATATTAACCTTTACTTAGTAATTTGGATCCGAATGTAAACGCCATGTTACTAAGTTATTCAAAAGACAGAATGATGAGTAAAACAGTAATCGGATACTTATTCTAACGAAACCGAATAGTGATAATCGTTTAGCTTACCAATATGCCTCTTACTTTCAGTCTTAATTCAAAGACAAATTTAATTGCTCACTAAATTAATGGTTCCAGAAGACTGCTCTACTCCTGTCTTCGAAATATTTTACCCGATCGTGTTTTGCTTCAAAATATGTGTATACTGGCCAGCTGATGTTGCTTATCCAGTTACACTGTTTTTCAGTTACAATGTCCCATCTATTTCCTATCAAACAGAACATCCCTTAAACCATCAACGAGTTACCATCATTTCTAAATAAATACCCTTAACTATTCGCATGTAAACAATGCTATAAACTTTATCACTTACGTGATGTTTCAACTTTCGACTAATCAGTTTTCCCTCACATGAGCACCTCTTTCAATTTTAATGGATAGTTCTAACCTTTGACTACTGAATTAGTACGTTTTGTTATATACCATTTATACGAAATATAGGTACTGATAATAATCACTGCTAACAGATTTATCACGAGAATGTACTCCATATTGACGGCAGTATTCCTCAGGGGCGGACGTATCTTCTAAACGCTCTACTCAATACCACACGTGACCCTAACCCCATAACTCTGTAGCTCACAACATTCTATGAAGTTAGTAGTGACTATTAACAAGTAGAATGTCTATTTGAGGTGTAGAGAATACATTTATTAGTGATTCGACACAAAATACAAAATCAACGGTACTGGAAACCACTTTCTTCAGCAACGAATCCCACGAGGTCACTGGGACTAAAGATTATCTAAAAAAGAAAACAAGGGTTCACAGGATGTATACATGAATATGACTACCAATATAATATTAACGAGATAGCACAGTAAGAATTAATGAAAGTTTGTATCGATGTGCGATTACGGAATTGGTCTGTCGGATTCTTAAGTAGAAGGTCGTGCATAACTTGCCACTTAGATTATTTTGACTACATCACACAAAGCATTGATAATGGGCGTTCGGTAACAACATTGTTTCTCGACGTTAGCAAGGCCTTTGATAAAGTCCCACATATCAGATTCCTAACAAAACTCCAATCATACGGAATAACCGGAAATCTTCACAAATGGATAAGTTCTTTTCTCACAGAAAGAGAGCAATTAGTCAAAATCAACCACCAGTTGTCTTCCTCAAAGCCGATAACCAGTGGTGTAATACAAGGTAGTGTTCTTGGCCCTATTCTATTCCTCTTATTTATAAATGACATAGTCTCTGTAATCAAGTATGGCAAGCCATACCTTTTTGCAGATGATCTCAAGATAGTATATGATTATGGGTACGGTGATATGAGCGTCGAAAGCAAGATCCAACAAGACTTAAATGATCTAGGCGATTGGAGCGAAAAGTGGCAACTGACTTTCAACCCAGACAAGTGCGGTATAACCCACCTTGGACGCTGGAAACCGATAATGTGCCTATACATGTACGGGAAGCTCCTGTCAAAACTGAACACAGTCACAGATCTCGGGATAACATACTCAGATTTATCCTTTTCCGATCACGCAAATAAGGTTGTATCTGACTGTAAACGACTTACTGGATTTGTACTGCGTAACTTCTACACCCAAGAAGCAAGATTAGCTATATATAGGACATGTATCCGTCCTGAACTTGAATATTGTGCTCTCCTATTTAGTAACCTCAGGACTGTAGACAGAAAACAAATCGAAAGTGTCCAGAGATTCCTCACGAAACGCATAATAGGGTTCGACCAACAAGTGGAATATGTTGACAGGTGTGTACGTCTGAAATTAGAGCCTCTGTGGTTAAGGAGAGTGAAGTGCAACCTATTTCTACTCTTCAAAGTCATTAGGAAACATTGCTACAGTAACTCATCCATAACTTGGGAAAATATTAAATCATATCAGCTGCGAAACCACGACTACCTTGTCAAGGTGGCTACCCACAGAAAATCCATTAGGGCAAACTTTTTCACCATAAAATATTGCACTCTTTGGAACCAACTACCACCTGAAATAAGATGTTGTGAAAACCCTGATGGGTTCAAACGGAGCCTAGAAAGACACTTTAACATGTCCACCATAGCTCATCTAAAAAACCACAACTGTTGGTAGAACGGAAATTGAAGGCCAGTCCAGTCTTCAGTATAGTCACATACGTATATCTCGACTCTAATACTCACGCAGCGAACGTTAACTAATTTACTGATTTCTATTCTCTATAATTTTCACTAAGTTGTGTTGCTAAAAGTAACACTGGAAATAATTGTAATAGCATCCACACCTTTTAACGTTTTACATATGTATATACTAATATAATAATACTTATTAATCATGCATGTTCAATTCTTAAATTAGATGGATATTAAAATACTTAAAATATTTATGCATCAAATGTTCTCTTGCTTTACCACGCTTGTTTCCCTTATAACACTCAATTATTGAACCTAGTGTAATATTTGATATACGAACTATATTATTGATTATACTCTTATCATATATGGTTTGATTTACTCTACGGCTCCCTGTAGACTAACCACCATTCTTCAGTATACACACACTGCAGTATTGTTAAAAAACGCCAAAATTTCGTTGGTTCTGTGTTAATATCTTTTTATAATATGTCTAGACACGTTACTTTGCAATGTCAGATGTTTACTATATATAAGACTGTCATGAAAATTTAGTACACTAAGTCCTGCCAACCGACCTTACCTTCAGTCCATACTACCTAAATTGAACCTTAACTATAGTATTCTGCTAAATCTTGCTCCACTATTCACAATACCTATTCGTTTTACTCTTTAAGGTTTTAACTTCTTATAAAGTAATCTGTTCATCAGGATGCATGCACACATATATAATATGTTCGTAAAGATGTACGTGGAGACCTATTGGAAGCACTCATTAAGAAAGCTAGGGAGATGGAATATGGGGTACGAACATGTCTGGTACCAAGCAATATATTTGCGGTAGCCATAATAATCATAGTCTCAGAGCCTAACATCAAAAAAGGAGGGAGGGTGGCGCAATCTGATCAGTAGATATGGTGGTGGTCACTAAGGTGAATCGCCCCATTCTGCAGGAACAGCAATATACAATTTAAAGGCTCGAGATATTTCTGATTTTTATGAGGGCTTAGATCTTTATCTTGAAAAAGATAATAGTGAACGCCTTGACAGATAATGCTTCTACCTTTAAATATATACCATTCGCTCAGCCTATTGTTGAGATGCGACCACGTGGGATCTGCACAGATTTATGGGGCATCTTATGAATTAACTTGCTATCCATTGTCAGATCTTTAAATACCACTTCACAATATCTTGTCTCACTTATTTTCTAATAACGTCTTTACTTGATTCTCATTATATTCCATTAAACCTAACATTTTATAGCTTTTTATGAATTTGATTCGACTTATTCTATTCCTATTCTCTGGAGGGTACGGTTGTGCACCAAATAGAAAAAAAGACATGAAATAAAGACAACTGGCTTGAAAATAATTGTATTAAAGCCAAAAGTGAACGCATGATAGTATAAAATATATTGGTTTTATTATACATTGCAAATGAACGTTGTCGGCCTAAGGATTAATTACTTCCCCATTCTGTTTTCTATATAAATGTGTTTATTAATGATATATTTCACTCACTTAATCTATTACACTTTAATGTTACACCACAGCACTTTAATTTTTCTAAAACAGCTTCCAATTCCTTGTAAACGTTGTACTTACCTCAATATTGGTTGATTATCGTATGCCTACAACCACGGGATGAAAACGAAACGAAGTCGATTTTCCCGCTCAACCTGGAGGACAATTGTACAATTCAATAACTATACAGCCTAGTTCAGACAATGTGTATTTATATATATATCAAATATTTAACTGTTGAAACATTATTAACTTGTAGACAATTTAAGATTTGACATTATATCATCCTTGATCGTGCCTGTAAAAATGGCATGCATTTTCATGTAAATTTATGTTTATATGAAAATAAATTATTATTATTATTATTACATCAGTCACTATTTTTGACACAAGTGAATATTTAGACGAAGTAATAAGAAGACGTAATTTGTCTGAGTCGTGTAGTGTTGTATTTGTGCAACACATTTTGGACAATCTGGTCACGCATGGACTTGTTATAGGAATACATATGAGATTAACACAGTTAAAAGTCTAGAAAATAAATTTAGGTGGAATTAAAACCACATATTGGAGGTCAAAATAACAATGAAGATCACTAAACCAAATATCAGAGAGACTAGTACATCTACCCTGACTAGTATCAAAACGAAGTTTAACAAAGAAGGTTTCATGTGATGACGAATAGTCTTGGAATTCACAAAAGTGGTTTAAACTTCCTAATCACACTTCGGCTCCCACAAACTTTAGGATGCAATCCAAACACGTTTTACAGATAGGTTTAAAAAATGTGCAAACGTCAGTTTTATGTCCTGTCCCTATAATATGTTTCGAAATAGAGGAGCTGGGACCCCATTAATAACTTCTGAAGATTCTGTTGCTTCTGGAGGCATTTAGGAATATGATGCGTAGCCCTTACTGGCAGAAATCGATGAGCCTTCCCTAAATGGATACAGCAACCACTTCTAAACCTTACGTCCATAGCTTTAAGAGATAACGGACACTACTTTTACGTGGTTTTAAAATAATTTTGTGAATTATCTTCGAACAAGCGCGAATAACGTGGCGTCAGGACAATAACAAAAATCGTAAGTTTATGAAACCAAACTCACTAATAGGACAAAGTGACGCACACGTCAGATGTCTTTACGTACCTGATCACGAGGATGGTATTGAAATCCACCAAGTTACTAAAATGTTGCAGTGTGCATTTAACTCATTTAAAAATTTTGGCAGAAAACACTGAATGTTGTAAGTGATCGTAAAACATATTACAGTTTCTTCCCATTTGTGAACACTAATTTTTGCTTGTATCTATGCATTCGATCGACTTTCAGCTATCAAAACACCACACAAAAGTGCGGAAGGATGCAAAATTTGATATCAGCCATATTCCTCGGTTCCTGCAGCAGTAATAGGTACTGCACAAATGCTGATAAGGGGGATTTGAGACCGAGGGCAAAGTTCAACAATAGCGTCCCAAGGGATGCGAACGCACAATGATCTGGAGCCGACCATTCAGAAAATAGGAGGATTTTTGCATAAAATTTTACATCTATTTACACAAAAAAGCATGAAAAACCCTTATACAGGATATTTCTGTCCAATATGAGATAAAAAAGTCTCCCAGTTATATTGAGGAGTATCAGTTTTTAAATAAAACCAATTTCCACACATATATTCGTCCAGATGACTAAAAATGACTTCCTTTTGAGAGCCGTTTATAGCTCTGATTCTGTTTTTAGTCTTTCCCAGAAACCTTCGATTTAATTGGTATGGGTACCGGTTCTAGGGTCCACGAAGTCATCTGAATGGTTTACTCGATGGTGTATATATCCAAAAGTAGATAGACGATTATATCCTGCCCATTCATCCGTATGAATGGTTGTGCCTGGCAACACCAGTCTTTGAATAATAGGTAGTAGTGTATCCGCACTCCTATCCGGAATGATTTCGATGAAACCTATGCGAATCTGCGTGTCGTAAATACCAAGAACCCAAACGTTATTAGCCCTAGCACGTCCCCGGTTATACTTCTTTTTTATAAGCACAGTTTCGTCGATGTGAACAACGACACCCACTCCACCTAGCACTTGCGTGATGCTATTTATTTTCCACGACGCTAAATCTCTGCAAAACTGGAACCATTGCACAGTAGACGTTAAGGTATTGTCTGCCTGGGCTGCAGTTGGTCTCACTCCGGTCTTCAAAATCCAGTAATGACATAGAAACAGGATATTCGTCAACGAAAGTTTCGATTTTTCGAAGAAAGTTCCTAAAACATAATCAACTGAGAGTGTTACTTACCAGTGCGAACACTTTTTCGCTTCCTACACTGTGTACATCTAAATATATATCCATCAATGACATGGGTATACGGCTGCAGTTTCATAGAAGTACCACAACTGCAAATCCGAGTATGTCCTATTAATCCATTGTCTAAGCAGTACCGAAAAACGTGCACTGGTTGAAATTTGCATCGGAGCAGATGAACAGGCGTCATTTTCGCGCCAGAATAATAGAAAGGTTCCTCGACCAATGACTAGCATGTGTTCAAGGTCATTGAACGTTGAAGGTTTTGGGACGCTATTCTTCAACTTCACCAGACCGAGTACAAGTTTCCGCCAATCTGCAAAGAAATTTATCGAATGTCAGTCGTTGAAATGTACGCGAAGCTTACTCGGCATGCCAAAAATCACTGCATGAACCATGTATTTAAGCGTCCTGTCACACAAGCAATAAGTAAATGTTCAAGAACAATATCGAACAATAATTTTCTTATAAATTCATCCACAAAGAGCAAAATAAGCACCGAAATCGCGTCTACTGCGTTTGCTGGACGACGAAGTCCAACTCGAATCAACGAAACCGCGCAAATGCCGTCAAGATTAAGCCAGAGGCGCCACTTCAAATAGGGGATATGCCTTATCAGCGCCCGAGAACACATACTATATTTACAGGCACGATCAAGTATGATATAATGTAAAGTCTTGGATGTTCTACAATAAATAATTTTTCAACAGTTAAATATTTGATATATATATATAAATACACTCATTGTCTGAACCAGGCCGTATAGTTATTCAGTTGCACAGTCGTCCTCCAGGTTGAGCGGGAAAATCGACTTCGTTTCGTTTTCATTCTGTGGTTGTAGGCATACGATAACCAACCAATATTGAGGTAAGTACAACGTTT